GAAGAATATACCTTAAATGCAATCACCAATCATATAGAGTAAGGTCAGCCGCATTATTGATATTAGCTATATAGTATCTAGATCAAGTTTTTGCTCAATTTTACATATTTTAGGCAAAGAGATGCACTGTTATGAGTAAAACATGCTCTCTCATTTTCGTTGAGTTAAATGAAATATTGGCCTACATATGCGGTATACGGTCACCCCGAGGTTATATATGGTATTGACCCGATTCAAGGCATTTCTGACATACAGACACACCATTATCTATAAAAAGAATATTCCAGAATTTTAATTATATATCTCACACAATGACCGATATTTTCGAACAAAAGTCAACTATTGGTACAGGGGTCCAAATATTCGAAGGATTTTTTTGAATGATTGTTGGACGATTTTTTTTCATTAAGTGGCATACACTAAATCCATTATTCATGCAAAGTTTTATTCCGTTATATTAATTGCTTCTTGACTTGTGTACTGGAATTAAAATTGCACTATATTTAAAGTAGGCGTGGTTGTTGGCTGATTTCGTCCATTTTCCATTGTAACCTAAAAATGTCAGAGGAATGCCACACATCAATGWTGGTTGAAATTGGTCGGGCAGGTCTCGAGATATGTCATTTCATCTAAAAGTTGGCGGTGGCACTCCAAGCGTCCAATTTTGACTTCGGCTCCTTTAAGTTCCTCTCATATCATCGCGTGGGTGAAATTTAATGTCTCTAATGTATTTAGTTATTGAATTAGTGCGCTTTTACCATAGTAATTTTTAGCAGTACCGCTATTCGGTGAGTGAGCGGGGTTATCATCCGATTTCACCTATTTTCACACCATCGGTAAAAGTTCTTATGATATACATATGTGATAGGTGCATTTGGTTATTGTAGCTTTAGTGGTTTAGGAGATATGTAGATACGCCTCCTTTTTCAAATTTATTGTCCCTTGCTACTGTGATGATATAGTATTAAATCTTAATTTAGTGCTTAGTTATGGCTCTTTATACATAGGTGTTCGGTTAATAGCGATTTGTGGGCGTGACAGTGTTCCGATTACTCCCATCTACGAACTCGTAATTTTTTTTTGTACTAAAGAACCCGCATACCAAGTTTCATCAAATCATTTCAACGTTTACTCAAGTTACAGCTTGCTCGGTCGGACGGCCGAACAGACAGACAGTCCAATGTTCATTTCTACTCCTCTCTTAAAAATTGTGGTCTAAGTTTTATTGCTTATCTTCGCTAGCTTTTAAAATCACTGAAGAGTCCGGATTTGAGCAGTTTTCGGAGTTCCMGGCTGAGTTTAGACGGTGCTGATTTTGGGGTTGAGTCAACACTAACTCAGATAACTCAGCTCAGACCAAAGTGAGGCYACTATAATTATTAACCAACTCTCTTCTAGCAGGAAATCCATTCATCGTGAATTTTATATCGAAACAAGAGTAAATGMTAATTATTTCTTTGTCAATAAAGAATGTATGTTCTTCAGAAAAGAAAATAATGAATAGAAGCAATGTTTAAATTTAATTTMTCAAATATAAGGACGGTTCTAGAAAATTAAATTTTTCAAAATTGCTCCTTAAACGAAGTTTGAGAACTTGTTCAGCGACGACAATCATAGTGTTTTGAACAATGTTTACATAGAATTTTTATAGATTTCGTAATACGAATCATAGGCTAGAGTGGGTGCCAGACATATCTCTATATGAAACCTATCTATTGGGCGCTGATTTAATATAGTATACATATAATTTTCTATCCAAACTGCACAACACTGTACTCGACTACGCTGCTTGAAATTTGTTCAACATCACTTACCGTTGTTATCAGCTCCTGACCATAACTACAAATCATATAAAATTGAACCAAACAGCAAATCATATAGGAAGCCAACGCGACCATTGAATCCAAGGGCACGCCAATGCTRAATTGAAAGGCCAGAAAACATATAACGAAAGAGGTCGAGATAAAATTGATGAGCACTGGCAGACCAAATATTTCATTGATTAGCTGGCAGAGGCTAAAAGCAAAATAGAAAATTATCAACTTTTTACAAACACAACAACAATACTGAACTTACGCTAGKGTATGACTATGATAATAAACGGCTGCACTGAGAAAGTCTAAATCGCGCTGCGACTGCTGCGCCATCACATCCGCTGTGGCACACGAGCAACCCGCCTGATATGCTTCAATGTCGCGTGCCAATTTCCGGAAATGGATTATTAGTTGTACAGTTGCAGCGCAGAATAACAAATCACTAGCCAAATAACCACCCAAGCCTGTGAGGCTGGCATAGACCTGCGAMACATAAAGCGGATAATAGAGCCAATTGTCGCGCCACTCAAAGGGTACCCAACAAAAGAAAGGCACTTCACGCACTACGTCTGTATGCTGTAGCAATGGCGCCAAAAATAAGTAGTTGATCATCGGCAGGCAATTATAGGTGCCAACAGTGAAGGCATGCGTAAAGGCATGCATAAAACCAAAGAGTCTGTAGCGCAACAGATGGCTCTGCAGTTCGTATGGCGGCTGATCTGTCGACTGCTTGGGATAGATTTCGTAGAGCTTCCGCATGAGGATGCTGATTCGTGAGCGYTGCCGCAGATTACTTAAAATCTTTAAAATTGACACAATTACGAAACCCATGAAGGTGAAATTTCGYGCAGCTTGTAGAAAATTGGAATTCTCTATAAAGTTGACAACAACGAAAGAAGCCTCTATGATGAGCACCCAAACCAAGTTGACCAGCCCAATAAGGCAATAAGTTTGGCGCAGTACTGTTGTAAATCGTGCAGCAATACTTTTTTGCTTTGGCGCATCACCTGGWTGTCGGTAGATATCATCGTAGGCCACAATGCCGTTGAAGCTATACCAGAAATTGGCTGTACTCATRAAGGCGCCGAATTCGATCATTTTCTTTGTCATACTCGCGAAGCAATGTGTGGCAACAGTAGTGGCATCTTATATAAATAGCTGAAGGAGTCCACGTACAGATATTCCTAGCAGTAAGTAAAAAGCATGGATATACTTAACACCATGCAGCAAATTGTTTTCTTTTTTTTTATCCTGTAAACTGTCAGGTTGGCCAGGATTGTTGACGGTGTTTCGGAATGAATATTAATACGCGAATATTGATTAAAGTAACAGCGGTTTAAGCAGTGAACTGACAGTACTGCAACATGACAGTACTTAGGTGACAGAGAGTCCTAGCTGTTTCCGTGAGAACCCTAAATGTCTTCGTGAAGAAGTGTCCTCAGTGGTTAGATTATGAATGATTTTTTGAACTAAACAATGATCTGTTATTGGTAAAGTAACTCGTTTATCACATGTGACACTGTTTAGTAACCGGGTCGAGGACTGAACTTCGAAGATAGCGACAATTTCTTGAAGAGCTAAAATATYCCAGATATGAGTTGATTTTACGATGACTGATAAAAAAAAAAAATCATTTCCATTTACTTTAAAACAAATCTTTATTATCGCCTTCAAAAAAGGTCTCGTTTCAATGAAATCGGCTGGGATAACTTTCAGTGCCTTCAACGAGTGACTTTTTATGGCTCTCGAAAGTGATTATCGTGGTGCAAACTACATCACGTAGGCCTCAAAATATTTAAATAGTACTCTTGACTGACCGTTTGACTCTATGAAATGAATTCATGGTGCAGCGCACTACAGTAATCAAAGAACACGATAAGCACCCCATGATTTTTACTGACTTTGAGGTGTTCTTTCGACTTCGGGTAATTTTTGTGTGGCCAKTCGCTAGGTTGTTGGACGGTTTCGAATGTCGGGTAGATTGGATAGATACACAGAGAGCCTTAAAACGGGAAAATCACGTATGTGGAAATTGTTCTATGGATCATTCTGAACAACTTTGTCGAAGAGACCATGAGTCTAAAACCGGTTTTGAGCGATTTTAAGTGAATTATATTTAACTCATCACTGCATTTTCATATTCTATTAATCATTTGTCGGAGTCAGATAGATCAGMCAACTATATCACATATCTSCCGTACAACCGATTATTCCGATTTTTAAAACTTCGCTGTCTCGCAGCCAATTTTAGACCAATAGAATATCCGTAGAATATTTCTCACATATGAGATTTTATAAAAAACACGTTCCGATTTATATATACATATATGTAGTATATAGTATATAAACTGGACTCCAACTCACAAGCGATTGCTTGCTAGTCGCTTGCTGTTCATCGTAAAAATAAGTTAAATGCTGTTGACGAATGTAACATTTGCTCTAAGGTGGAGTTTTTTAATGTATTCATTGATTGATTTTCATTGCTTGATTATRTCTAACTAATAACAGTACTTGTTTATAATCGAAATTACACTGTGATTATACACGTTAATGTAAAATTATTTAATAGCTAATTTAGTAGGCGTTTGAAGTTATTCCGCGCTGCCCTTAATGATATAGCTCTGTGCATGAGGAGGCATTCGTCGCAGTCAAATGGGTTGGCGTGTTCACGAAACACGTAAAGTTCGGAAAAACACTGTGAATATTGCCTTGTAAAGAGACTCATTCATAAAAATCACACAGCCATTAGAAAGTGACTTCAAAATGATAGTATATTATGCCTTGAACCACATGAATGTAAAGTATGTGTATGCGCGTCAGAGAAGCAGTGAACTGATTGGTTGTTTCAAGGAATTGGTAATCTTTTTCTCTTCCAAATTGTTGGGGATAGTGTACGAAATTATACTTATTCACGACGGAGTTCACTGAACTGCCTAATTTAAGAGATCAATCGAAAATATCCACGGGATATCATAGTAATTAGCATTTTTTGGCAAAATTATTCAACATAGTTCCCTTCATGGTGATACACTGATTATAGATATCCTACAACTTTTCGATACCATTTTGGTAGTACCATTTCATGCACACATTGATTTAGCTGATGCAATGTCCGGAAACTTGTCTTCAAGCCAAGTGTTTGCTTTAATTGTATTTTTCCSTTCAAAAAGTAATAKTTTATCAAGAGCCGAAAATCTTGTTTATYCATTTTTTYGTAATAACAAAAATTGCTTCACTCAAAATGCTGTCAAATTTATATGCGCGCCTTTTGAAGGTTAGAGGCAACTAAATACCATATGGACCATATTAGCGCCGTCTATGTGTCAATAGACCAGTATATACCTTCGAATTAATCCATAGGAACCTACATTATATACATTACTTACCGTTTGCATTAGATAAATTTGGTTGACTTTATTCATAAGATTAACTAGTTTCCAATCTAGTCCGTTTAAGGATGTGTATACGATTGCTATAATTGTTTAGTTAAACTAAGTACTCACACCTTTAAACTGAATAGATTTTTTATAAAATTCTTTATCTCTAAAAATTTTATTAAATATTTTTKCTTTCATACTCGTATATGAGTGTTTGTAAGTTCAAAAGAATTATTTGGAAATGTTATTCGGTTCACGTGCATACATAGTGCGTATAACTGCAAACCCCTTATAGGATAATTGAAGAAGCTGCAAAGAGGAAAGTTYGGATTAGCTTATAATACTAGATATGCTAGACATTATATTAT